ACAAGGACATTGCTCCAGTATTCGACTGGCCTACAGGGTCGGTGTTTCGGATAAGCCGGTACCAAAATTTTTTTGGCTAAACAACATCCTTTGTCCTCTTTAAAATTCATGGCTATCAACTATATACCACAATCTAGAAGAGGAGGTGACTGAGGCTGAGCTTTACTTAATAGAGAAGCCTATTGGATTCATGAACTGAATACAGTGTCTCCCAGAGGACTTAATGAAAGTTTACTTTTCCATTCTTTCTTACAGTTTACATCCAGCTTGAGTAATACTGTATTGCTATATATACTGTTTAGATTTACTATAGCTTAGAAAAAACATATAGAAACATAGAAACATAGAATGTGACGGCAGATAAGAACCATTTGGCCCATCTAGTCTGCCCAATTTTCTAAAATACTTTCATTAGTCTCTTATATCTAAGATAGCTTTATGTCTATCCCACGCATGCTTAAACTCCTTCACTGTATTAACCTCTACCACTTCAGCTGGAAGGCTATTCCATGCATCCACTACCCAGTAAAGTAATACTTCCTGATATTATTTTTAAGCCTTTGCCACTCTAATTTAAGACTATGTCCTCTTGTTGTGGTAGTTTTTCTTCTTTTAAATATGGTCTCCTCCTTTACTGTGTTGATTCCCCTTATGTATTTAAATGTTTCTATCATATCCCCCCTGTCTCGTCTTTCCTCCAAGCTATACATATTAAGATCCTTTAACCTTTCCTGGTAAGTTTTATCCCGCAATCCATGAACCAGTTTAGTAGCCCTTCTCTGAACCCTCTCTAAGGTATCAATATCCTTCTGAAGATACGGTCTCCAGTACTGTGTACAATACTCCAAGTGAGGTCTCACCAGTGTTCTGTACAATGGCATGAGCACTTCCCTCTTTCTACTGCTAATACCTCTCCCTATACAACCAAGCATTCTGCTAGCATTTCCTGTTGCTCTATTACATTGTCTGCCTACCTTTAAGTCATCAGAAATAATCACCCCTAAATCTCTTTATCTCATATGTTGAGGTTAGGACTCTATCAAATAATCTGTACTCTGCCCTTGAGTTTTTACATCCAAGATGCATTATCTTGCATTTATCTACATTAAATGTCAGTTGCCACAACTCTGACCATTTTTCTAGTTTACCTAAATAATTTGCCATTTGGCTTATCCCTCCTGGGACATCAACCCTGTTACATATCTTAGTATCATCAGCAAAAAGACATACCTTACCATCAACACATTCTGCAATATCACTAATAAAAATATTAAAGAGAATGGGTGCAAGTACAGATCCCTGAGGCACCCCACTGGTGACAAGCCTAAGCTTCGAATATACTCCATTGACTACAACCTTCTGTTGCCTGTCACTCAGCCACTGCCTTACCCATTCAACAATATTGGAATCCAAACTTAAAGATTGCAATTTATTAATAAGCCTTCTCTGTGCAACAATGTAGAAAGCCTTACTGAAATCTAGGTAAGCAATGTCCACTGCACCACCCTGAGCTAATATTTTAGTTACCCAATCAAAAAAATCAATAAGATTAGTTTGGCATGATCTCCCTGAAGTAAACCCATGTTGTCTCTGATCTTGAAATCCATGTATTTTTAGATGTTCAACAATCCTATCCCTTAGTTTCCATTACTTTCCCCACTACTAAAGTAAGGCTTACTGGCCTATAGTTGCCGGACTCCTCTCTACTACCTTTCTTGTGAACGGGCACAACATTCGCTAACTTCCAATCTTCTGGGACTACTCCTGTTAACAATGATTGGTTAAATAAATCTGTTAATGGTTTTGCTATTACACCACTAAGCTCCTTTAATAACTTTGTATTCCATCAGATCCCATTGACTTATTTGTCTTTACTTTTGACAGTTGAAATAGAACCTCCTCCTCTGTAAACTCACATGTAATAAATTACTTATTTGTCCTTTTTGCTAACTGAGGTCCCTTTCCTTCATTTTCCTCTGTAAATACTGAACAAAAATATTCATTGAGGCAGTCAGCTAGACCTTTATCCTCATCTACATACCTTCCTTCTTTTGTTTTTAATCTAACTAATCCTTGTTTTACTTTCCTTTACAGTGATTTAAATTTTGTCTTATTATATTCATTTTAATATTGAGCTTTCAACAGGTATTTAAGTATATTTAGTTTTTTTTCTCTACTGTATGCACGTTATTATACAATCAACAGTACCAAGCTACACTATACAATTTCTAGCTCACAAGGATATTAAACCCGAGTGCAATTCCTTTATTTTGTAACTTAGAATTAGCCATTACACATTGTTTTCTCCATACACAACTTATCACTTTCAATAGTTCCTTTTATGGGACAATATAAGTTATTTATCACAATTTCTATGCATACAGCACTTTAAACTTATCATTGTGCTATTAATAATAGGTAATATATTCTCTACATTGCTATTTAGATATAGAGTTTACACAAGCACTTTATTAAAACACACTATACAATTTGGGCACTTTGCAGTAGAGCTGAGCGAACCCGGACTGTAAAGTTCAGGTTTGTACCGAACATTACGTTTTTTGGACCCCGGACACGAACACGAACATATCACTGGATTTAATGGCGCGTTTTCAAAGGCTGCAGAGCAGCCAATCAACAAGTGTTTGACTTGTGTGCCCATAGAAGCCATCACAGCCATGCCTACTAATGGCATGGCTGTGATTGGCCAGTGCAGCATGTGACCCAGCCTCTATATATAAGCTGGAGTCACGTAGGGCCGCGCGCACATGAGCTCTTATTAGTGTAGGGAGAGGATGCTGCCGCTGTGAGGGACAGCTTAGGAAAGAATTCTGCAAACTAGTACATTAGTGCGGTGCACTTCATATCTGAGAGTCAAATAGAAGCTTCAAATACCGCGGTTACATTGGAGTTTTAAAAAGTCAATTTTTTTTGGTGCTAAAAAGTACGTTAGTGGGGTGCTCTTTATAAATGAGAATCAAATATAATCGTCATATACTGCTGTCACATTGCAATTGTAAAACTTAAAATTTTTTGGGTGCTAAAAAGTACATTAGTGGGGTGCACTTCATATCTGAGAATCAAATAGAAGCGTCAAATACTGCTGTCACATTGCAGTTTTAAAATTTAAATTTTGTGGGTGCTAAACTGCGAAATAGTATTTTAGTGGGGTGCACTTCATATCTGAGAGTCAAAAAGAAGCGTCAAATAGTACGCTTACAACGCAGTTGTAAACATTCTAATTGTTTTGGTGCTAAACTGCTAAATAGTACATTTGCGGCCTCCACTTCATATCTGAGAATCAAATAGAAGCGTCAAATAGTGCGCTTACAGCGCAATTGTAAACATTCTAATTGTTTTGGTGCTAAACTGCTAAATAGTATTTTAGTGGGTGCACTTTATATCTGAGTGTCAAATAAAAGTGTCAAATAGTGCGCTTACACCGCAGTTGTAAACATTCTTATTTTCTGGGTGCTAATCTGATAAATAGTATATTTTGGGGCCTGCTCTTCATATCTGAGAGTCAAATCGAAGCGTCTAATAGTGCGCTTACAGCGCACATGTAAACATTCTAATTGTTTTGCTGCTAATCTGCTAAATAGTACATTTTGGGGCCTGCTCTTCATATCTGAGCGTCAAATCGAAGCTTCTAACAGTGGGCTTACAGCGCACTGGTAAACATTCTAATTGTTTTGCTGCTAATCTGCTAAATAGTACATTTTGGGGCCTGCTCTTCATATCTGAGAGTCAAATCGAAGCGTCTAATAGTGCGCTTACAGCGCACATGTAAACATTCTAATTGTTTTGCTGCTAATCTGCTAAATAGTACATTTTGGGGCCTGCTCTTAAATATCTGAGGGTCAAATCGAAGCGTAACTTTGGTTCGAATTTACTACATCGGTCACTTGTAATATTGTTTCACACCTACAACACTTGTTACACAGATCTAAGTGATAGAAAACAGATTGATATTTTCTACACTAGAAACTACCAGATAACAAGCTGCTATATTTAAACCAGTTATCAATAGCTAAGAGGTACTTAAACAATATTGTAATTCTGCGGCAATACCCTCACATGTCAAACTGAGAGGTCAGTTTATAGGGAAAACTGTTGCCTGGATACAATTCTAAAACAATTTCCATATGTCCTTTGCAGACTTTACATACTGGAAAAACACAGGTGCCAACTGCTGTGGCTTTCTGCAGTGTGCATACCGGCAAGGAGGGCAAGGTTGAGGAGTGGGTGGAAGATGATGTGGAGGATGATGAGGTCCTAGACCCCACATGGAATCAAGGTCATGCGAGTGAATTGTGCAGTTTGGAGGAAGAGGCGCTGGTCGCACAGAGGCACCAACACAGCATAAGAGGGGGCAGATTTAACGATCCATTCGTAGTTGCACAGTCAGGTGGGCAGTCCGGTGACCGGGACCCAGACACTGTCTGGGCAGCGATCGGACGACCGGGACCCAGTATGCCTGATGTTGAAGTTAGGATTACAGTGTGGAATGGATTAGCAGGGTCTGGTGCAGGGTAACCGCACGCCCCCTGGTGTTGAGCACCAGCGTTTGTGTGGCCACATACCAGGACCCTGATGCAGCTTCAGTAAAAAGAGTACTGGATACCAGAAGCCATCACCAGACTGATCCGCAACTTGGAACAGGATGTGACGCTTTCGGCGTTCTCACCCTGCTGCTGCTCGCCTGTCTGCGCTGCAGTGTAAGTTTGTCCTTCTCGCTCACTGCCTCATATGCGACGTGCCCACAAGGTGGAACTCCACCTTGCACATGCTGGAGAGACTGTTTGTGCAGCAGCAGGCGATAGTGGAGTTTCAGCTGCAGCACGCATGGGTCAATGGCTCTGCACCAGACTTCCCTCCAATTGATCAGAGTTAAAGGATTTCAAGTGGACTCATTACAATTACAGAGCCTCTAAAGAGTCCTGTATTGTTATTTGTCGTCACTACCTTCCCGCGTTGGGAGTGGGTAATTTGCGTGCCTGCTGCCTTCCTTGCATGTGGTAGCCATTTGTCAGGGTCCCTGTATGGAATGGAACCCTGATTCCCCGTTACCCGTAGTTACCATGGTAGGCGCAGTCAATTGCATCAAAAGTTGATATGGATTGACATACGAATACGTCGTCGCCTTCTCATTGGGGAGCACATTGAAAACGTGCTTTAGCATGACGAGCTGGGTGATTTCCTCCGGGAACTTGGCTTGATGGGAGTTGAGCCAGTTCTGGGTGGCCCTTGTGATGCCACGGTGTATACCCAGATATATCAGAGCTGCTGCAGGAAGTGCGGCCCGTCTGTGCGCGCTTTTGGCGTTCTCACCCTGCTGCTGCTGCTCACCTGTCTGTGCTGCAGCATAACTTCAGCCTTCCTGCTCATGAGACTGTGCGAACAGCAGCAGGGGATAGTGGAGTTTCAGATGCAGCCCGCACGGGTCAGTCGCTCTGCAGAACAGTTTACTTTTTTTGTATGTCCCAATATTTTGTGGCTACCCCAATTAAAATAAAAAATAAATAGATATAAATAATGTTGGCTACCTCCTCCTCCACCGCCGCTTTCACCTACACCACCACGGCCACCGCCTCCTCAACCTATGGGTCACTTAGTATAAACTATGTACACAATAGCAGAGGCTTGTGAAGGCCTTTTCTCCATGCATCAGGAGTTGAGCTCAGTTTGAACAATGAAAGAGAATACCCTGCACTCCAACCCTCTCTCAAATGGAGAATTCTGTTGATCCTCCTGACAGCCATGCTTTAGATTTTGATTTATGTTCTTCCAAAGCTAAAATCAAAGATTCCATCTAGTGCTATTTTATTGCTCAGCTGTATTTTTAATTTTTATGTTATTTTAAGTGATTTCCCTATCCACATTTGAACTTGTCCTACTCTTACCCCCATTTTACTTCCTTTTCAGGCTCTCTTTCCAGGAGGTTTTTAGAGGCATTTTTGAGGCCAAAAGTTCGGGTCCCCATTGACTTCAATGGGGTTGTGTTCGGGATCAAGTTCTCGGTCACGTTCAAGCCCGAACCCGGACTTTTTTTCAAAGTCCCGCCGAACCCGCTGGACCCGAACATCCAGGTGTCCGCTCAACTCTACTTTACAGTAATCCAGGTTTTTTTATGCAACACAGCAGTATCGAGCAAAATAAGCACAACATATCACTTTGTATCATGCAGTGCACTTAGTATATTGCTATCAGTGACACACATGTACTGTTAAGTTAAGTAAAGTCTAATATATCACTTATCCACATGGTATGTATATATATATATATATATATATATATATATATTATGTATTTAGCAATAATGTTTTACATGTTAGTTTTTATCCATCTCTCTCCAATAGCTGTAGTGCACCGATCGTTCTTTTACAGATCGGTGTGTTATTGTGCCGCCCGCACAGTGTCTACAGGTCACCATAGCAGCGCGGCAATGTTTACTTGGGTTGCTGAGGTGATGCTTACAGCATCATGCCGCAGAGCAGTCTTTATTGGCTAATTATGCACATGCGCATTGTGAACAGTGGGACGTCGATTGGGGGGTAACAACAGCTGCGGTGAGTTCATAACTTATTTCACTTATAGTTTATAAGTCAGTTCAGTTTGCATTTGTTCAATGTATGTAATTTTTTATCCTGAAGAAAGCCCAGAGTGGGGCTGAAATGTCGATCTCTCTTTTTATGTATATCTAATAAAGTAATTTTGATTTTACACGAAGACCGAGGAGTGTAGTGATCACTATTGGAAATGCTATGTGAATCAGCCAGCTGACTTTGGCACCCGGCAACAATAAGGAAAGCGTGAGTGCAAGGAACCCTTTTGTTTTTTATTTATATATATATATATATATATATATATATATATAAATAAATAAAAATAATACAAAATATATATACATGTATCCATATACATAATTACATAAATAATTTCATAAATATACACGTAGACTTCAAATATATAAATATGTACATATATTTAAATTCTACGTGCATATTTATGTAATATTTTTACATAATTAATCATTTTATTGATTGCAATTTGAGGGACCTGCCTGCCAACCCGGGCCGAAAATCCAGAGAATTTAATTTGCTAGCACTGTATTTAACCTTGTAACTTTCCAAGACACCCTAAAACCTGTACATGGGGTTACTGTTTTACTCGGGAGACTTCGCTGAACACATATATTAGTGTTTTAAAACAGTAAAACATATCACAGTGTTTATATTGTCAGTGAAAGTGAGATTTTTTTGCATTTTTCACACACAAACGGCACTTTCACTGATGATATTGTTGTGATAAGTTTTACTGTTTTGAAACACTAATATTTGTGTTCAGCAAAGTCTCCTGAGTATATCAATAACCCCCATGTACAGGTTTTATAGTGTTTTTGAAAGTCAAATATAAGGCTTGATTTTCGTTTTTTTTCTATTTGCCATATTGGTTCCTACGGTAGCCCAGGAATAAGAATTACCCCCATGATGGCATACCATTTGCAAAAGAAGACAACCCAAGGTATTGCAAATGGGGTATGTTCAGTCTTTTTAGTAGCCATTTAGTCACAAACACGAATGTATGAATAGCTGAATTGCTGAAGTGCCGAATTGCCGATGGTCTCAAAGTTCCGAAAATACAAATTTCCGAAGTGTCGAATTTACGAGGTGCCAAAGTTCCGAAGTGCTGAAGTGCCGAAGTTCCGAAGTGCCAAAGTGCCGAAGTGCTGAAGTTCCGAAGCACAGTATTGCCTAAGTACTAATTTACTTACCCAGTGGAAGTGCCAAAGTTCAGAAGCACAGTATTGTAAGTACTAATATACTTACCCATTAGGTCCCCCCCCTCATTCTAATTTAGGGCCCCCACCCACCGCTCAGGGGTGGGGGCCGGGGGGAGGACATTAGGTTCCCCCCCTCATTCTAATTTAGTGCCCCCACCCACCGCTCAGGGGTGGGGGCCAGGAGGAGGACATTAGGTTGCCCCCCAATTGGTATTTAGGGCCCCCACCCACCACTCAGGGGTGGGGGCCAGGGGGAGGACATTGGGTTCCCCCCCTTATTCTGATTTAGGGCCCCCACCCGCCGCTCAGGGGTGGAGGCCAGGGGGGAGGACAATAGGTCCCCCCATTATTTTACTTTAGGGCCCCCACCCACCACTCATGGGTGGGGGCCGAAGGGAGGACAATAGGTCCACCCCCTTATTTTAGTTTAGGGCCCCCACCCACCGTTCAGGGGTGGGGGCCAGGGGGGAAATAGGTCCCCCTTCAGGTTAGAAGCCCCCACTTAGGAGGGGGGGGCTTGGGAGGGAGGACGGGTTTTTTTTCCCAGTGCTCACTGTTTAATAAACATGCCCCTAATCGCGGTATAGCAAGTAGGGGCATAATTTAGACCAATTCAGATCTTTCAGCATTTTAGTAGATAGCTCCCTAATACCATGGGAATTAGGGAGTTATCTACTTATTCAGTCCTGTCATTACATTGACTGGCTAAGTAACTTACATTTTATATGAATGTATGTTACTTGATTGTTGTAAGTGTTGCAAATGCTTACAGCTGAATCCTGGCTATGTTTGTATACTTTTTATTTAAACTTGTATACAGTGGGTGGGGGCCTGAGCGGTGGGTGGGGGCCAGGGGGGAGGACATTAGGTCCCCCCCCTAAATGGTATTTAGGGCCCCCACCCACTGCTCAGAGGTGGGGGCCAGGGAGGAGGACATTAGGTCCCCCCTTATTCTGATTTAGGGCCCCCACCTGCCACTCAGGGGTGGGGGTCAGGGGGAGGACAATAGGTGCCCCCCATTATTTTACTTTAGGACCCCACCTGCCGCTCAGGGGTGTGGGGTGGGGGAATAGGCCCCACTTTAGTTTAAAAGCGGGGGGACCCACAGGCTGCTCACTATTTACTAGACATGCCCTTACTCGTGATATAGTGAGTAGGGGCATAATTTACTCAAAACACAAACAGGATAAAACACAAACAGGAGGGGGTAAGAGACACAAGGGAGAGAGTAAAAGACATAAAGAGGTAAGAAACACGAGAAAGAGATGCAAGGATGGTTAGTGAAACAAAAAGAGGGTAAAACAAAAGAAAGGGTAAGAGACTCAAGAGGGGTAAAATGGGGGTAAGATACACTAAAGGGGTTAAGTGACCACAAATAGAGGATAAAGACACAAAATCAGGATATAAAAGGAGGATAAGGTTGGGTAAGTGAAGGGAAAAGGAGGGTTAAGAGACAAGCAAGTCTACACAAGACACAACTCATTTTGGCAAGCATCAAAATGCGACTTTTCCTGTATACCCGAAAATCTTTGCACTAGCTCTGCATAAGTCCAGTTTTTTTAGCTTATAGAAAAAGAGCAACTAAATTTGAATGCTGCAGTGGGTAATTAGCAAAATAAGAAATGCAATAAAAGGTGTGATAAATGATTTTTCTCTCCATCATTAAAAAATAATCAATATTATAAAATGTCGGAACATAATTAATAAAGTAGTATTATATATACAGACTAATTTTGCAGGAATATATCTTTATAAATCCTTTTGTTAATCATTTCCCCACACAAATCCATGCCACGTATGTATTTTAATTGCAGCATACAAATAGCTAATTTTATATATTTATTTATACTTACAATTCACTACAATGAGAATTGTCAGGAACTCATAGTGTATGGAAAGGGAATTTACATTTTAAAAGAAACTTCAAGTACCATAACCACTACAGCAGCGTTGCCAGGAGTACCGTTGTGTAATGGTTTGAATTCTTACATGCAGTCCACCCGGTGCTGCCCTCTATCTTCTCTCAGCCTTCAAGAGGGCTTGAAGCTCTTTCTTTGCAGGTATAGCTCATTGGTGAGAGTGTCAGGGGGGCACCAAGGCACTGCCAGCACCATAACCACTACAGCAAGATGTATTGGATATGGAGCTTTCAGTGTTATTTTAAGGCCAAAGAAACTGAAGTGGAAGCATAGCTTTACTTAATTTTCAACTTTTATTTTTCCCAGTGCATGTATCATGGTCTTAAATTGGAAATTCATTTGTAATTACTTTGAATTCTACACAATGCTAATTTTAGTGAATAACCCGGTTAGATCCTGATGTTTCAACATGCCTGAAATAAATTGATTATTAAAATTGTCTTGCTTTTCATCAGCTAAAATATTTTATACAATAGGAAGC